ATATATGTATATGTAAGTAAACAATTTTAGCTACCATTTTTAGCCACAACGACTTTAGCTCTTTTTAGCCCTTTTTTAAAGGAATTTGGCTACCACTAAAAATTATTCGCGGCAACACTGGTCGCGTTGCCAATTGATTAGCTTATTACCATTACATAATAGACGCTCACTACTGTTTATATCATTTCTTCTCGACATCATCTCGGGTAAAGTCGACTGCCCGTCCCTTCTTGGGTTGATAGATTTCACTGTGCCGAGTAGAAACCTTCGTCGCTTTGATACTTTTCGTATTGGTTTAAATAAAACGGTTTACAATGCAAATGCCCCCGTTGTTAGGGCATTGAATGAGTACAACTGTTTATCGAAATTTTTAGATCTTGATAGCCTTTATTGTATTCTACTCTTGTTGTTTTTACGTTTTCAATTTGTAATTAAAATATATAGCTTGTAATTTTTCATAATGTCTGTACCATATATAACTTTAGACATTAAATAAACAAATAAATAAATACCAGAAGGCGTATGTGTGCTTACCAAAAAATGTTGCCGTGTAGTGTTTTTACCGATAAGGTCCGGATAAAAAATATTAAATTTGTATCCTTGAACTATTTTGGGTGGAGGGTTATCCATGTCGTAATAAGTTTGATCATATTTATTCCATTCGAAACCGGTATGCACGCGATTTAAATACCGAGGTTTGCCAGGTCTGTATTTGTCAGCTGCTATTTGAACTATCTCCAGAGGTACTTCTACAGACAATTCGGCATCGTCTTTATCCATTTTTCTACGCATGGTGTTACGCATATGGCTTTCTTCTTCCGTAAAATGTTCCGTATTTGAACTTCTTTCTGTCGCTTTTGCACGCAATCTTTCAATAGCACTAAAACTATCTTCCTCAGTAATAGTTGGCAAAGCATTTTCATCATCAAGGTTTTGGACATAAGTTGGACTGTGTTTTCCATCTTCGTACATATCAAAATATCGCTGTAAAAGGTTGAATTCATTTTTGAATTCCTTATTACCATTATCAAATGTCTCAATATAGGTAGAATTAGTTTTTTTCGTTATTAGATGTCGACGTGGCATCAGAACGCTCGGCATCATCTTTAGTTTTTAAAATATTCAGTTTTTTACGCAAGTTCTCGTGATGTTTATCTCGCAAACGGGCACGAGCCATATGTGCTTTTAATTGAGAAAGTAAACTTTCCCAATAACTTATGTCTACAGCGTCTGATCTTGAGATTGTTTTATTTTCTATTTTTGTACGGAGTTCATTTAGTTGCAACATCTTTGCTACCATCGTATATACTTACAAGTATGGAATCCTATGCCCCTTTTTGTCTATTCTCTTTCTAACAACGGATGTGCCTGCCAAAAAGCGGACGTGTCTGCCAAACTGAAAAGCATGATGTCGGCAGTGTTTGACAGGCACGTTCGACGATGCGAATGGCATGGAAATGAAAGAAATGGAAGATGGATGGCATGAGAATGCAAAAATATGAAATAGCAGAATGTCGACCCAAAAACGAATTTGAAAAATCTGACAATGCAAATGACGTTAAAATGAAAGAAATGTAAAATAGCCAAATGTCGAAACAGAAGAAATAGATGGCAGGCACGTTTTCAAGGGTTTCGTGCAACAAAAAGTGTTCTTGTGTTGCGCCACTCAATATTTAAAACCTTTTTTAATGTGGTTACATCTAC